AATTTCTCCACATTGGTGCAGTAGAAAATGCTTGATATTAAGTATACTTGTAGTCTTATATGTGTAGAAGTCAAATATACCATCCATAGCCAGGAATTATTGAGCAATATGTTTTTACAGTACCTCAAACTAAAATGTATGAATGCATGGCCCTTTAGGGCTTCCGTAGCTCTCAGTTCTGTTTGATTAATTTTTTTGAGCAAAAAGCTAAACTTTTCAGAGTTTAATGGCGAATACATTTGTGTACAAACAAAGTCTAACGATAAGCGTTACGAGATTTACTTAACTTTTTATAATCTATGCTTTATTTTCTTATTACCTTTAGTCCCCCTGGTATCTCTGTGATTATAGATATTATAGATTATAGATAGACTCAAGCTGTATACACAAGATATGCATACTTCAATAAAGTTTTAAAACGTAGTTATTTCTTACTGTACCTTTATTTTTTACATGACTTATGTAACAATATACTATACATTATATAATTTAATATAATATGAAATAAACACTTAAAATTAATACTATCCATGTTGTATCTCACCTATGGTGTATTCATATTTCTAGTCTATACTATTCTGTATATATTACACATATATGAAATTCAGATAATATAAAGATCATTAAAATGTAGTAATAGTACAAAAAAACATCAAAAATACAATCCTATATATCCATAATATAGAAATCATAGTGTCAGAGGATCTTCATGGCTCAAAAATTAAAGCACACAAGGATTTATAAGTACATAAATGCGAATAAAAACTCAACAAAGCAGTTATATTAACTCTCTGGGGGTTGAACACATATATCCAATATCTTTTAAAGTAATATATTTAGTGTAATTCTACTGTGTAGAAGTACCTCTGAGTAATAACATACACAAAACAAAAATCTGTATGAGGCAGCATAAGCTTGTTTAATATAATTAAATTCAATAATCAATATAATACAATGGTGATTATCAGACTGTTATATTACCTAGAACATATATCAGTCAACAAAAACAACAAAACAAAATTGTTTAGAGTATCACCGTGTCTATTTTCTAGGACTTACATTCAGTTATAATGATATTGTTATTTCAATTAAATTATTTAGTTATTCATCTTATGATTTTTCTACATATACAGACTCCTAACAAACTATGTATCGTCAGATGGGTCTGGTTCAATGTATCTCTTGATGAAAATACCTCCAGTGAAAAAATAATTATTACATTTTAAATAAAGTATAAAATTGATCACTTTAAATGTCAGTGGGGCAACACACAACACAATCTTTTTCAAATCTGAACTTTAACACTTATGTTCTGATCTGATCTTATGGCCTCACCAGCAGAGTTCAACTCAGTTCTCAGTGAGATGAAATCCAAGCCTGTGGACACTTTGATAACATACATAACTGTGTAGTGAGACCTCAATTCCTTTGTGCTGTACACATAAATAATAAACTTTATTTATTTATTGCTTTTTTGCACAAAATGGGAAATATGAGTAAGGATGTCAGGCAACCCTAGCCTAGCTTTGATCCTAGCTATCACTTTTATGTCTCAATTAAAAGCTTCTCATCACAAAGAACAGACATTTAATATGGCGTACCACAAGGCTCCGTCCTGGGTCCACTACTTTTCTCTATATGTTACCATCTGCAAGCACAGGCTCCCAAAAAGCTACTCAGCTGATCGAATCAAATCCCCTGTCAATATTTAGGGTTTGTTCACGAGTTTATAATGGACTCAAACTCATCAATCCTCTGCCTGGTGTTTCCTCTCCGGATCTTCCTGTAGGACACAGTTTTGTACTTTGACGATTGACGGCTGCCACTCTTCTTGTCGTCCACTGCCTCCGCCTCGCCGTTCATCTTGTCAAAGTTTTGACCTCCTTCCTCTTTGTCTCCTTCATCCTCCCTCACTTTCATTTCAGGGATTTCGGTGCTGGGTGAATTTTGGATCGGACCGGACTCTTCATTTCCTGGTCCGGCCCCTAACGACGACTGAGCAGCTGCGTCCATCAAAGTCGCTTTCTTCTCCAACCTGCAACCTGAAGCCTGTAGATCTGAAAGTGGAAACATCACCTGTGATTTTTTGTTTAATGAAAATACTTTTTAAAGGTTAAAGCTTGCGATTTAATTGGCTCTTTTCAGTATAATTTGCTTTTGGCAGATGAGTGAGTGTTATCTTTGTGGAATTTTAATTTGATTTTAATGAATGAATAAACTCTCTGGCCTGAATCTTAACCCTCAGTAAATTTGTACCAGACAATTATAGCTGCTGTTATATAAGATCTTCTCTACACTGCAAACTTTAAAACAAAGTGTTCAACTTCCAGCTAGACATTTACGCACTTACAGCAATAAATAACTTAAGCTTTTGGAGTTACAACCAAGTGAAAATGCTGCAGCTTCCGTTGCCTTACGAATCTTCTTTATTGTATTTACACATCTAATTGGGGTTTGTTTTGTTCCTTTCAGCAAAAAGAAAACTGTTCTCATTAACTTGATGTGATGTCAGTTTCAAGTCATATCAACATAAATTAGTTACTTATCTCATTCAGATTCATAATAATAACTTTATAAGTTAAACAAGTAAAAGAATAAAGATAACTTCAACTGAATCAGTCATTTTTAATCCATAAGATTTTCAATTAAATTAAACATTCATCATTCATGTCCTCAGCAATAGCTATTCAATCTGTTTACATTCTGTAATTTCCTCTCTATATGCTACATCTCACTGAGATGTGAGTGCACTGGGAAAAAAAAGACATGAACTGGCAGTAGAAGTTGTAATAGCAGAGTTGTACTTTAAGAGTTAAATGGTGTTTACCTGTCTGCAGTTCAGGTGTAATGTCTTCAAATTGCTCGCGTCCCTCCAGACTCTGTGTTTCCACCTCTGTGGGATCTCTCAGACTCAGAGGAGCCTCGACAGCCGGTAGATTTGTGTCTGTCTCCATCTCATTGTCCTCACTCGGTGATGTTGGATAAATGTCCCCATTATGGGTTTTGGCAGCGCCGGAGTGTTTCTCTCCATCTGTGAGGAGAGCTTCATTTCCTGTTTCTGCACAGTCATGACTCAGCATTTCTTGTTTACCATTAACATGTTGTTGTTGTTGTTCATCTTTCTCTACCTCCTTTTCTTGTCTCTCCTCCCTCTCTTCTTCTTTTCCATCAGCATGTTGTTTTTCTTGTTTATTCTCTACCTCATTTTCCTCGTTTTCTTTGCTCTTTTCTTCTTTTCCAATCTGTTGTTCTTGTTCATCTTTCTCTACCTCCTTTTCTCCTCTTCCAGTGTGACTTTCTTGTCCTTCTATCGCTCTCTCCCTGTCTCGTTCTTTTCTTTCTATGTCTACCTCTTTTTCCTCCATTCCTTCTTCTTTTCCATTCACCTGTTGTTCTTCTTGTTCTATCTCTACCTCCTTTTCCTCTTTTTCATCAATATTTTCTTCTTTACCATTAACATGTTGTTGTTCTTTCTCTACCTCCATTTCTTGTCTTTCCTCCATCTTTTCTTCTTTTCCATCCATCTGCTGTTCTTGTTCTTCTTTCTCTACCTCTTTTTCTCCTCTTCCAATGTGACTTTCTTGTCCTTCTATCGCTCTCTCCCTGTCTTGTTTTTTTCTGTCTTCGTCTGCCTCTTCTCCCTCCTCTTCTTTTTCTACTCTGTCATCCTGTCCTACCTCCGCCTCCTTTTTGTGTTTTTCCTCTGCTTCCATCTGTTCTTCTCTTTCTTCCACCTCTTCTTCATGATGGCTCTCCTTCTCTTTTTCTTCCTCGTACTCCATCAACACCTCTTCTTCTTTTATCTCCCTTTGTTCTTTTCTTTCTTTGACCTCTTCTTCGTCCAGGGTCTTCTTTCCTTCCTCCACTACCTGGTTTTTTTCTACCTCTTCTTCCACTGTCACCAAGTCTTGTTCTTCTCTTTCCTCATCTTCCTCTTGTTCCTCCTTTTCTCCGTCATCCTCAGTTCCTTCGTTTATAAGTTCTATTTCCTTGTTTGTTTGTTCTTTATTCTCCACCTCTCTTTCATCCTGTCTTTCTGTCACATTCTTCCCCTTTCCCTCTACATTTTCTCTCCATCCAAGTTTGTTCGTAACCTCCTCCTCACCCTCCTTTAAACCGCCTACATCTTCATCTGCCTCCCTTCTTTCTTCAGTCTTTGCTTCATCCTCTTCCTTTACCTCTTCTTCTTCTGTCTTTGCCTCTTGCTCTCCTTCTACTTCCTTTTCTAGCACCAGCTCTTCCTCTCTTCCTTCTATCTCTTCTTCTTCTTTCACCTTTTCCTCCCCTTTCTCATCCTCTAGCTCCTTTCCTTCCTCCTGTGACTCTCCACCTTTTATTTCACCTTCCTCTTTTTCTACCTCTTCTTCCTTTTCAATCGTTCTTTCTACCTGTACACCCTCTCCCACTTCCTCCTCCATGTTTGGCCTCCCTTTTTTCTCTCCTTCAATCTCCTCCTCTACCTTTCTTGTCCTCTTCTCTTCAGTGTTTCCATCACTGGTGCCTTCTTCCTGAGATTTTTCTCCTCCTTGTTGCAACTCCTCATCCTCTTGCTCCTGTTCTTCTTCCTCTCCCTCTTTGCTCTCATTGTTATCTTTACAGTCTTGTTGATCTCCTCCCTCCTTTTCCACCTGCTCGTTTTTGTCTTCTTCCACTGTTTCTGCTTCTTGAACACTTCTCTCCTCACCTGAAGCTGTCCCTTCAGCGTTGTCCTCTCTTTTGACTTCACACAGAACCGGCTCAATAGTGTCCTCCAAAGACAGAATATCTCCAAACAGCCCGACTGCTCGAATAACCTGAGACATTACTGGATTTTCCTCGTGGTCCAGACTGTCCAGCATGTCTGCAGTCGTCCACCAGCTTGCCATGATCTGGGAAATAAGAGAAAACTGCTCTTTAATGGCTCCGTTTGAGGAACGTGTGAAGCAGAGTGAAAGAAATAAACCTGCATCTGTCCCACCTAAACCACTTGTCCATGTTATGAAAGCATTCACACTCACTCAGACAGGATTTGATTAATGCCGATTGGCAGAAACGCAGCGCACGTCATTTCTCAGTCCATAGTCTGGTGACCTGAAGGCCACGTTTTCAGCCTCGGGTTTGTAATACTTTAATCTGTCAGGTGTGAAGTAAAAGGACTCATAACGCAGAATGACCCCTTCCTGATTAATTATGGAACCCATAAAGGTCCTGAAAGATTACATTTTTTACTTAAGGTTTTAAACACAGTAGAGAGCTACAGCACGCATTGGAAATAAATACTGTAACTTTAGAACTGGGTGCAGTATTTGTAATTAATGTCATACATACACGTACTGTATGTATGACTTAAATACAATATGCTTGATAAATGATGTTTTCCTGCCTTGTTCTATAACCCTTTCATGCATGAATTTTGGATTTAATGACTCTTTAGGCATGAAAACATTTCATTTAATTTCTATAAAACATGCATTTGTCAAGGAGTTTTTCACATGTTGACTCGGGTGGACTGCATGCGTTTGAGTTTTCAACTGTGTATTACTAACCAATTAATAAAATTATATATTATCAAACCTATGCAAAATAATATCTATTCTTTATACTTTAAACTAATTGTTCAATGCAATGTAAAACTATTGATTATATATGTGTTTTTAATATACTAATATAAATAGGATGTTGCAGGGGCTCTAACTACAGGAGGATTGGAGAGATATTCCTGAGTTGCTCAGTTTCTGCTCCTTAATCAGCCATGTTGAGAAATGTTGCCGTTACACTATGAATAATGCATTAGTGTCCAAGTGACTAATGATAGGCCCAAAAAAAAAACAGATTTTGAATAGCTGTGTGAGAAAGGGGTAATATTACGTTTCTTTTTTCTTCCTCTCCTCCTTACTCTTCTTTCAGCTTTAAGATCAACATTCCCATAGTGGTTTATCCCACTGTGGCATGTAAGGCTTCACTATAATCGGTAAAGTCTCACATGAGTTGGCATTATGTCACCATTTACCGTCCTCACTGCAGTACAGCTATTCTTGTCTAATAAAAAAGTATAATACATAACTACAAAAGAAAAGGTCAAATAATAATTTTTATTTTAGATCATATGTATCTGAATGATCTTTAAGTGATGCTTTCTCAGCTGTTGGAGAAGTCAATAATTATTACAAACCACCCTTATGTTTCTGAATACCCCTCAAAGCACTACTGCCCTTGTCCACTAGATGGTGGTATAACGTTTCATTGTAGTATCCTTGGATTGGATTTCAGTAGAGTAATAAGTTTACAGCCTACTTCATCAAAAAATACTTCACAATAATCTGACCAAATCGTATTTATTATTCCAGGAAATATTCTTTTTGAAAACTAGATTTGTGATTTAAATTCTCCAAAATGAAAAAGCAGACTGCCCTAAAAACAGACGCTGAACCTTCATCTGTCTGTTGCATGTAAAAAATATTACAGTTTTTGAGTAAGCATTGATGATTAATGAATATGTTGTATGTATGTATTATTATTATTATTATTATTATTATTATTATTATTATTATTACACCAACTGTATCTTTTCAATCAACAAAATAATCTGTATTCGAATCCGTACCTGGAGCAGGTAACCGTGGTTAACTGAATGCTGTTAATTTAAGCCTGAAATTGATTATGGGTTGATCAGAAGTTGCTATATTTGAGCAGAGGTGAGCTTCAGAACAATGTTGTTGATCCAAAGAGTAAGATAACTATTTACAGAACTATTAAGTTCTATATTATTTAATCCAGTTTGTACATTGTGATTTAGTGTTATGGTGTGGTAAATATAAAAAACATGAGTCATCATTTATCAGAACATTTATTGCAATAATAAAATAACGTAACAGTAAAAATGGGATTTGATTCACTTTTCAAGAGTTTCACATCATCTTTTATGAAAATATGCCTTAAATGTGTTTTACAATCAGTTTTACATTCATTGGTGGTGCAACCAAAACCTTAAAGTTTTTATAAACCCCATTTAAAGTCATTAATTAATAATACAGGCTCAAAACATTCATACCCATAACATTTTGCTGCATGACGAGTAGGCAAAGTGCTTTTTCTTCTTCCTCATATTGATACTTTCCTGAATACATCTACAAATTAAAAAAGTGATAGGTACTTTCATAAAATGAATGTTAAAATGTTACTGATTATTACAGTGTTTATTGAACAATATTGCATAACATAATACCTTAATTTACCTCACAACACTTGTGTCTGAAAGATTTTACGTTTTTCAAGATAAGCCTCATATAATAATTGATTTGATAATTTATCTGAGACAAATTTAAAGTCCAAAATTAGTTAAAAGGATGTTTAAACTAGCAGCAGCACTGAATTTGGCACTTCTTATTTTCTAAAACATCTCTGCTTCAGTAGTTTCTTCTAAGATTCACTTCTGCTCTGTGATTTTGCTTCCTGCTGTGCTCTCCAAGCCTCGAGCACCTCGTCGTCTTCAGCCTCGGCAGCGGCTCGAGCTCTGATCCTCTGCCTGGTTTGGGCGATGAAGGTGGCAATGTCATCCTCCTCTTCCTTGGCGCCTTCCTCCCTCCTACTCCTCCTCCCTTCTGTCTCACTGCTTTCATATCGTGAATGATGAGTGAACTTTCTCTTTGAGGAGAGGTCGCTGTAGCTGTCGGTCGCCCCGTTGCTCTCATCGTAAGCGCCGTACGACCTCCCCGCCCGGCTGTGGGATTGCGTGAACCCATTGCAGGAATATTCTGCATCTTCGCTTGATAGATCCTCATGTAACCTTGATCTGTATCTGGACGAAATGCCATATGTTTCCTCATCTTCTTCCTCAACAGCATATGAGGCCCTGCGGCTTGAGAAGTCGTATTCCGAAGCGGAGGCATCAAGATCGTCATAAGGGTCCTCTGAGGGACCAGCTTCTGCTGCGGAGGCTGGTTTCTTTGGAGGAGGCCTGACGCTTTTCAGCCAGTCATCGATGCTGGTGTTCTTATCTTTCTCCAGAGCAGGGTTGAGATTTAGGCACCCAGAGAGGCCATAACTTCTTGTAGGTTTCTCCTTTTTCTTTGTTTCTTCAAGAAACTCCTCTTCTTTCTTCTTTCTCTCCTCCTCCTCATCTTCGTCCTCCTTTGGTTTCTTTTTCTTGTACAGGGTGCTGCGCTTGTTGTCCTCCAGGATCTTCTTCTTTTCGTAGGTAGCCATCTTGTCCCTCATCTCGGACTTGATCTCCTTATCCATTGCATCCAGTTTGCCCATGTTGACTTGGTCTTGGAAGAGGCTGAAAAGAGGGACACTGGTGGTAGTGATCTTATTTTTCTTAGAGCCCAGGGTAGAGCCAAGGGAAGATCCCAGAGCAGAACCTCTTCCACTGAGGCCAGAGAAGCTGCTCGACCCGCCACCTGAGAGGACTGACGCCGCTCTGCCGCGACCCTGAGACAGTGCACTGGAATAGGAGGC